AAAAAAAAAAAAAAATATATATATATAAAAAAAATATATATATATATATATATATATATATATATATATATATATATATATATATATATATATATATATATATATATATATATATATAAATAAAATAACAAATATACTCGACATAAATTGGTTAACAATTATAACGATAAACAAAACAAACAAACGAATAACTTAATTAATTAATTAAAAATACAATATATAAAAGTCCTCATCAGTTGCAAGTTACAGATCTGAATATAAATTTACCTGGTCTTCCAACAACGTAACTTTCCCGTTTCATTTTTATAAACAAATACAAAAAAAAACTATGATTGAATGTAAAATCGCGCTAGACAATAAGCCAATTTATAATTGACTTAAGGACCGGTCATTATTTATGGAAGGGGGGAGGGAAATTTTTTCTTTCCTAAATTTTTAAAATTGAAAGCCCCCCCCTAAAAAAGCAGAAATTTAATGATGACCCCCCTACATATTAGAATTTTTTCTTTGACCCTCCCCTCCCCCATTTTCATTTTTACTCGTCAAATGGGGATACCCAGGCGTTATAGTGTTAATTATTAACTAAATAAGAATATGGAACGTCGACCAAAAATATATATTAGCAGAAAATTATAATTAAAAGAGGGGTATTTTCAGTAACTCTAAAATCAGGTTTCCATTTGGTCTGGGCGATTGTAATCATGTTTAACGGCAGAGAATTAATATTAGTGTTTGGAGCCAGGTGCCGTTTGTGGTCCAAGGCTGTAACTAGACTTGATGGCACGAAGTATTGCCATAGCAGCTGCGCAGCAACGAGAGTAACAATCAGTAATATTAGCAGCAAAAGGAGATAGCTTGACAATTCTGGACATTCTGCCAAGACATACCTCCGGCACAAGTCACACTGACAAGTCAGTGGAAAAGAAAATACAGTCAATGTATAGTGGTCTATATATACATCCTATTTTATGTGAGATTAAAAATTATATAAAATAAAATGACATACTACCAGATAAAATCCTCTAGAATAAACATGAGTGGGTGGGTAGAGAAAAGGTATCTAAACGCTAAACTTGCTGCAGCTAGACAAAGCATACAATGGCAGAATGAATACCCAGACCGAAGCACTGATCACAAGGCGTGAAACAACCCCCTTTGATCGATATGACGTCACAGACTCCACTCAGCGGATGTGGCCTGCATATACATTCGCCGTTAACCTTGCTTAAATGTATTTAACCACATCAAGATAGCTGATGTAATAACACATTGTCAATTTATCTCTGCAATCAGTAAAGACTGATTTGCATACAGCACACAGAAGACAAGATAAATCCGGACTCCAGAAATTTCACATCAGTGACCATGATTTAGTCACAATTACAACCAAATGGATACCATGCTTATTAAACAAATTCCTTCAAATTTAATTGCAACCCCCCCCCCCCCTCCTCATTTTCTTGAAAAAATTTAATATCCCCCCCTTCTAGTCAGTTATTTATACATATGGCCCCCCTTTATTTTTCCCTCCCCCTTCCATAAATAATGACCGGTCCCTTTAATATAAGCACTTCATCTTGCGAGGATATAGTGGATCAAGAATAATCAAGATGAGGCATTTTCGTATTTATGCGCAAAACAAAACAAAAAATATTGATTGTTAAATCGGATGTCAATTCGCTGCTAATTTGCTCCCTGTTGGTCAATAAGTATTTTGGTTTTTGACTATACACTTTCGCACTTTCAGCTTATAAGTGACCAATAATTTTGACCAGAATTTTCCCGCTCATTTTTGACCAGAATTTTCCCAGTTTGTCCAGTTTTGACCAACTTTCCCCGCTCAAACTTATTGGGGGTGTAACACCCCCCCCCCCCAGTGGCGACGTCCCTGTCTGTTCTGTGCTGCTCTGTTCGTTCCGTTCTGTTCTGTTCTGTTCTGTTCTGTTCTTTCCGTTCCGTCTGTTCTGTTCTGTTCTGTTCTGTTCTTTCCGTTCCGTCTGTTCTGTTCTGTTCTATTCTGATCTGTTCTGTTCTGTTCTGTTCTGTCCGTTCTGTCCGTTCCGATCCTATTTCTGTCTATTCTATTTTATTCTATTTGATATATTTTAACCATTCCTGTGAAATTCTTGTCATAACTACATCTATTCGTTTGCATTGCTTGACCATTAATCGTTAATAAATTAATATCGGTCAACTTGATGTTTCGTTGAAAACTTGCCTTTGTCGTAATAACTGATTTTTTCTCAGCTGCAGTTCCTCATTCGATTCTCGTTCGCCTCTTTCATTCATGCGTAGTACACGGTCCATTTCACATAGATCCAGGAAGATGACGGCTGAAGGTTTTAAGAGATCGTCAGGCCATTGGTAAATGAAATTTCCTTTTGGTGGGATATTTATTTCACTACCACATTTTGCTTCCACTGCAATTGCGTAAGCTGCTGAACTGTGCCAAAATCTGTGAACAAGTCAAACGCTTGTTAGCATATATTTGGAACATATTTGAATATAATAATTAGTGTCCAAAGTCGTGTTGTTCGGCTGAATGTTGAATTATATCATAGTATTCAAGTCATGGGTCGTGTTTGATCAGATATAAAACGCTCGGCTGCGCCTCGTGTTTTATATCTGATAAAACACTCCTACTAAATAATACTTTTCACCCCTTCTCAGCCAAAATGAAAATTTATGAATAAAATTGAAAATGATGTTTGTGGTGTTACTCTGTGAGTGTGCATCCACACCGGGCAAACTGAAAAGTTTGGCTGACTATGGTGGGAATCGAACCCGCAACCTTTGGGATACTAGTCCAATGCTCTACTAACTGTATTCAGAGTAACACCAAAAACATAGTATTTACCTGAGTACATAATAACACCAACACACACACACATGCAAAAATTATCATATCTTATAATACATTGATATCGAAGGAACTAGCAAACTTTTCAGCTTGCCCGGTATGCGGGATGCACACTCAGAGTAACACCACAAACATCATATTCACCTGAGTACATAACATCAACACACACAAAAATTAAAAATATTCCATCTAGACGCCACCCTTAGCAGAGAACACAGCAAGGCCATTATGTGAGTGTCACGGGAAGTGCTCGAGTTCAAAATATGGACTACAAAAGTATTATCTAACTAAAAGCACACGCGTCGATTGGCCCATTGGATACCCCACAAGTGAGCAGCGATTGCAACAGGAAAAAATCCTTGTAGGCGATAGACAGCGGCATTTGTGCTGGTGACCACACAGGATTGATGAACCACTCGCTTGATGGTATACGGCGCCATATCCAATGGAACCCGCGGCATCCGATATAATCACCAGATCGGCTAATGGCATGAGTCCAGGTAATAGGAAAAAGTTTGCACCATTCCACTCCTCAATGAACTGGACCCACCACTGCAAATCTGATCGAAACTCCACGGTAAGACGGATGGGGTGGAGCGGGTGGCGTAAAACGCAAAGAAGATTAATCATTCGGCGCTAAAAGGTACGACCAGGCCAAACCACATGGCATGCATGGTGCAGTTTCCCCAGCAGTGACTCTAGCTGCGTACGTGTGCACCATCGTTTCTGTTGCCATTCTTTGAGGAGCTGCTTGAGAGCTTCTAACTTAACCTTGGGTAGACGCGCAACTTGGAGAATGGAATCTAATTCGATTCCCAAGACAATTAAACAGGTAGCGGGACCGTCCGTTTTATCGGGATGTAAAGAATGTCCATGCAAACGGCTACAAACGGAGGAGGCCATCGCCAGATTATGCGCACATTGAGGGAGATGAGGTGGACAGGCTGTAATGTAGTCGTCGAGGTAGTGCATAAGGTCGGCGATTGCGTAGTTATTACGCAAAATCCATTCTATCGCATCCGCAATGGAATTGAAAATTAATGGCGCTGAACGTAAACCGAACGGAAGAGCAAGATCTACGTATAACTTTCCCCGCCACTTCATGCCAAGCAGATGACGTTGAGACGGCAGTACAGTTACGTTACGACATGCGCTTTGGACGTTAAACTTAGCCATGAGTGCACGGTGCACTCATGGCTAAGTTTAACGTCCAAAGCGCATGTCGTAACGTAACTGTATTGTCGTCTCAACGTCATCTGCTTGGCATGAAGTGGCGGGGAAAGTTATACGTAGATCTTGCTCTTCCGTTCGGTTTACATTCAGCGCCATTAATGTGCACCCCAACCTAATTTGGTGACCATGGCAACGACTGCGTCGAATTTTATATACTGCAGAGAGAATTGTTCGGGGTCAATACCATCATTAACACTACGCCCATGTGGCGACGACAAATCCAAATCAAACGCCACTTTCCTGGTTGACCAGCCTTGGGGATCACACCAAAACTGCTAACGTCCAAATTAGGTAGCGGGATGCTAAGAAAAGGACCGGCTACCCGTTCCAAAGCGACTTTATTCTGCAGGTACGCATCCACGATCTCAGGATGGGCAGTTGCTGAAGCTTTATTTTTTTGTGAAGATGTTACAGGAAACTGGGGGAGAAAACCAATATCAAAGCCGTGGGCAATCCCACTGAGAACATAATCCACTTTCGAATGATCCGGGTGGGTCTAGAGTTCGCAGACAAATTGATGCAAATTAAGAGGAGAAACCACAGAAACGGGAGAGGAGAGTGCCTAGAAATCAATAGAGGCGCGTATTACGGATTCAACAGAGGCGTAACTATGTACGGCTAGGCTATCGCTAACGGTGTAAAGGCTAGATTACCACAGGCATTAGAATAGAGTTAGCCATCCTCCACGAAAGTTGCTATTTTCAGGCCAATGTGAATGCCTGAGCAGGCATCTTGTTCTTTTTAGTAAATCACAAGAATTTATATAACTCACCTATCAAGAACAACTGGACTTGCTACCAACGAACTTTTAATATTTTCAGCCATAAGGTAATTTCCCAGGGAGTAGAAAGCTCTGCATACAGGTTGACATTGCTTCACCATTATTTCCCTATATTCCAATATGGTTTCTGGAGGAGTATGGAATACCCGGGCACCAAGACGCTTTGTCAAATTATTCACTAAAGTGGTTTTACCTGCAAAAAAAATAATTTACTTTTACAATCTTCACTGATTATGACAGTTCGCACACGGATGTTAAAATTTGCCGTGAATCTGAAGCCATGCTCCAAAAATTTACGATGTCAATTTCTGAAATATTGGAAATACTGACTTTAGCTGATGATAAAAAATTAACAGACTGAAATAATCTGAAGATACATACATGCATACATACATACATAATACTTTATTTTGACACGCTAGCCCCATCAACATCAGTTGTTTTTCATGAGGGGCGTGTTAACTAACTAATTACACAAATAATATGTACAAATTAAAGTTACTTGTGCAATACAAAGACTAACAGGTAGACAAAAATGTATAAACGAAACAAATAAATATTATTGAGGACATGATGAATAAAAGGAATTAGCGCTTTTTGCTTCAATAGACAGATTATTCCAATGGATAGCTCCATTGTATTTAAAACTTATTTTAGAAATTCTTTCTTTGGTTTTGGTAATACTAAATCAGTTTCACGATTCCTAAGATCATAAGGGGAATCGCCTTCACTGCATCGTCGAAATAGTTGTTTTAAATTTGGGGCAGCATGGTCATTAATTATTTTATGCACGTAAATAGATTTTGTATAGTTGCGTCTCTGGTCTAAGGATTCCCAACCTAACATATTCAGCGCATCAACAGATCGAATATCAAAAGTAAACCTCGTTATAAATCTCGCAGCACGATTCTGCAATCTTTGAAGCTTTTCCCTGAGACCACTTCCACAATTGTCCCAAAGGTCAACACCTAGGCATGCGCATGCAGTTTTCCGTCCAGGGGACTGGTACGTTATTAATTAGAATTCTGAACAATTTTGTTTTGTCTTTGACAAATGTTTTGTCTTTGTTGGATGAATTTGAAGCTTATTTTGTAACATCCATGTCCGGACATTTTCAAGATCAGAGTTTATATTGGTGACCAGCTCGTCACCATCTTTAGCAGATGCATAAATTTCCATGTCATCTGCGTACATAGGAGAAGTGCAAAATTTTAAAGATTTAGGCATATCGTTTATATATAGTAGAAACAGCAACGGCCCCATGATAGAACCCTGCGGGATTCCACAAACTGTTTTCTTAGGTGATGAAATCTGGCCATTAACCGTACATTGTTGCTCCCTGTTGGTTAGGTAAGGTTTAAACGATTCTAGCTCAGTGCCAATTATGCTTTGAAAGTAATAAAATAGAATAGTTAAACTTTATAAATATCACAAATAAAGCTAGCTAAACCAAAAGGATTGAAAGGATTGGAGGTGAAGGTATTGGTAACCATAGTGTAATGTTCAAATTGATAAATTGATGACAATTATTCAGATGAATTATTTTTCAAGCCATGCTATTTATTTGGAATAGTATCCTTGTAATACAATTTCATTTAAATATTAATGACTCAATTTGATTCATATATTGGACTAGTCCGTATCACAAATAGAGAACGCGCGCCACTGAAATTTGACTATAGACAGTCTGTCACAGTTATCACAAACTCGAGCCGAAGGCGAGTTTGTTTATCCGATACATCACGGATCGGAATGGAAATAAAAGGTTCAACAAGTTGCGACGATTTTTTAAATTAACTTGCACTTAGTGCATCTTTTCCCCTTAGGCAGTCGGCAGAGAAAGAAGGCTTTTACCCCTTGCGAGTGCTGAATTTGGATGTGAGTGTAATTGAATCTGGCAAAAAGTTCACAAGTTGTAAAACATGTTTCCGAGGCGGTAATTAACTGTTCTTCAAAAACTCATTAATAATTCATGAAGCAATTATCCAATCTTGAGTAAGAAATTAGTCACGTGCATAAGTCTTTATACCAGCTAAAGAACACTTTAACAAAAGACCATTGTTATGCAAACTATATAAAGATTTTTATATAAAGATTTTTATATAAAGATTTTTATATAAAGATTTTTATATAAAGATTTTTCATATTCAGATTTGACTTATTATGCAAACGTTTTTGAAGCCATTTAAAAAACTCGCAGGTCGTGTTTTATTAGGTCTAAAGCCACTCGCGCTGCGCGCTCGTGGCTTTAAACCTAATAAAACACTCCTGCTCGTTTTTTAAATAGTACATATATATATATATATATATATATATATATATATATATATATATATATATATATATATATATATATAAAGTATACTATCTAGCAATTGCCCTGCGTGACACTCATGAGCATTCAAAATGGCGGCTCAACCGGGCAAAAATCATAGAGCGAGATAGGGAAAAAACATGTTTTTCGCATTTTGCGTCGTCCTACAGCTTCCGATCCCGTTCTATCACTTTATTTTGGCAAGAACTAACTGGTGTGAAGGTTTTGGATGAATATTTGTACAATTTAAGTTTAATAAAGACGAAATAATCGATCGCTAAATGTTATCTGAAAATCATCACATAGTCGGTTGAGCAGTTCGAGACATTTTGTTACAGAAAATAAAGGGTTTGGTTCTTTGGGTGCTTTTTTTCTCGAGGATCTCGGTTGGGATATATAACAGGGAATAATATTGTGAAGTATTTTGAAGTTAAAACCTATTTTACTTTATTTATTTGCTCTGCTGGTGCAAAAATTCTGATGCTCTGTTTAGTGTGACTTTGACAACCTCCTTGCTGCTGCAGATGTCAAGGGATCTCAAGTCTATATGGCCTGGACAGTGAAAAGTGATGAATCAATCAGGTTTGTAGAGAGAACTAGTGACAGCGAAAGTTTTCAATGGAAACTAGTTTGAAGAAACTGACTAATTTGTCTGGTATGCATCAAAAACCTTCACAGTATCTAGTTCTCTCCAAGAAACCTGATTGATTCATCATTGATAATCAAAAATAGATGGGACGGCATCTTGTTTAGATATTTCTTGGATAAGTTGGATTGGCCTTTTATTGATTGCTCTCCACAATCAGCACTCTCCCCTTCAGGCACTCTCCCCTTGAGACAGCTGACTTAAGCATCAGCACTTTCCCTTGACGAGTAAAATTGTCTGGCGTTAGACAGAGTAAAATAATAAAATAGGGCACAAAACGACTCAATGGGTTAACTAGACACATGGGCAGATAGGCCAGTTAACCCATTAAGTGCCACTGCTCTCCCCTTGATGAGTAAAATTGTCTGGCGTTAGACAGAGTAAAATAATAAAGTAGGGCACATTGCAACTCGATGGGTTAATATAATCATCGGGTGTGAAGTGTTTCTCACACAAGACAGGGTTCGTACGGGTCCTGGAAAGTCATGGAATTTCAATATTCCAAAATCCAGGCCTGGAAATCCTGGAAAATCAAAATTACTTATTTCAATTTACCAGTCATAACAATAATATGAATTGCTGTTTTTAATTTACCAGTCATAACAATAATATGAATTGCTGTTATATAACAGATTTTTGCAAGAGCGAAGTGAATTTTGTTCTTTTACTATATCTGTTATTGTTGAAATATTAACGAATTTCAGAAATTCCAGACTTCCAGGTCATGGATTTTGAAAAAAATAGTCATGGGAAGTCATGGAATTTTAAATCGGAGAAAGTGTGCGAACCCTGACAAGACTGGATATTTGATTGGCATCCAGTCTGCCCATTTCATTTTTTAGCAGGCTGGGATTGGTTATAGGAAATCCAATAGTGCAAAGGGAAAGATGTATTTTTGGTTCACTGATGTGAACAAAAGTAAAACATTTTTGACCTTGAACAGGACAAGGACCTCTATGACAGTTGTTGTCAACATGCATATATATAGAGAGAGAGACTCCTAACACAGATTGACACAGACATCAAAACAAGTTGTTTGGTCTAATATTCTTTTATTAAAACTGTAAATAGTTTTATATTGTAGCTAGCAAACTCAAAACTACATTTGTTGTGACGTTGTCATTACAGTATTTACAAAACAAATTGTTTTATTCTATTAATATTAAACTATTCTGTTTATATGATGTAAGTTATAGACTTTATATAGTGTACAAATATATGATGTGTGTGTTTCATAGACTTACTTATGGAAGGAAAAGCGAATACCATCTTTTAAATCCCCACGTCTGCCTTGCACTAATACGATGAACACGATTCAGGCCGACATTCAAGCATTCTTTTCGATAAAACCCCCCAGATATTTTAATAGAATAGAAAGCCCTAGAATTTTCAGATGAAAATACTGTATTTTGGTCGAAATAACAATGAAAGAACAAAATAAACAGTAGTAGCTTTGGGAATAGTTAGATATATATCACATTACTTGAGAAAAAACTCGTAAAAGACTGAAGGAATAAACAGGAAGAAACTAAAGACGAAAAGCGCGCGAAACTGCAGGCCTGCCCAATCTTGCCCGCTTGAATTGTAATTTGTAAATTGTATTAGTTGTAACAAATATTCATCCAAAACCTTCACACCAGTTAGTTCTTGCCGAAATGAAGTGATAGAACGGGATCGGAAGCTGTAGGACGACGCAAAATGCAAAAAACATGGTTTTTCCCTATGTTGTTCTATGATTTTTGCCCGGTTGAGCCGCCATCTTGGATTTTCAAAATATGCCACGCCGGGTGAGCCGAGTCAGCAATCTAGGTCTCCTATATCTATGG